TCTGGAACACGTTTAATGCTGTAAATCATACAAAGCAGTTTCATTAGTTTCTAACTTTCCTTTCAGGTCTCAGTGCGAAAAAACCTGTACCTGGCGACATGCCATCACAACTCGGAACTGGTCTATCAACATCTGCAATTCTTTTTCAATACCTAAATTGTCCAGCAAAGTGTACAATTTATAGTAACCAATACATATTAGCACCCTTCAATCACGCCCTTCCCCAGTTTCAAGTTAAAAAAAGAAGGGATTAACACCAGCTCTTGGGAGAAGCTAAATTATTTTCGGGAATCACCGCTAAAAGAAATTATTTTTGGAAGACTAAATTTCACTCGTCTGGAGCGCCGTTTATAAAGTTCAAAAAACCGAGTGTATGTAAAAATGTTTTGAACAATATTTACGTTAAAATCTTAGAAGTCAAAAATAACCACGGATCACCAGCGAAAAAAGATGCCAAAAAAGGATGTGAAAGATAACAAAAAACTAGTTACACCAGTGGCCACGCAAGTTGAGTACAATTCATCCAAAGCGTTCGCGGCAATAAATTCATTTTCTTCGAAAATTAATGCAAACTTTTACTTCCCACTTTACTTATTTGATTTTTCTTTCAAAATTTCAAAAAGCACTTTATGGGGATTCTAGAAAACGATGGGTGACTTCAAGCAAACCACTACCGGTTCTTTCAAACACCTAAAAACAACCAAAAATTTTTCTAAATAAAAAGTTTGACCCATTTCAGGTAACAAGTTCAAAAAAATCAACTTTTCCAAGGAATTTTTGTTCCCTTCAAAGCCCAGGTAGCGTAGCAAAAGAATCCTGAACTGCGCTGACACTTAACCAGTGGTACTTCATACTATAAAGTCTAAACCTTTTTAATGTAAATATATATTCAGGTACATATGAAAATAAATATGTGTAAATATAGGCATAAATGTAAATATAGATACAATTATAAATATAAATATTAGATATAAATATAAATATTAAATATAAATAAAAATATTAAATATAAATATAAATATTAAATATAAATATAAATAT